ATCCTTAAACACACAAAAGTCAGGCAAAAAAATGACTACATAAGATAAAGCTGTGGTTATTTGGGAAAATGACAAAAAGATTAGAATCTAAAAATGGAACAACTAATACAGAATCTAAATGCAGATTATCAGTGAGTGTCAAAGATCCTTTCCCAATAATTGGGGTCGAAGTCCCATTGGCAGTAGAAATAAATTTGTGTGAGAATGAATTAAGAGGTGAGACCTGTCTAAAATCAAATGTTATATGATCTGTGGCACCAGAATCAATTATCCATGCACTAATAACAATATGTGTAGAAATATTAAAATTCTTACCACCATTATTTGTTGTCTTAACAACTGCTGCAGTGGAGGTTTTTGTCTGTGATGCGCTTGTTTGTAACGGAAGTAAACACTTGCATAGCAATGACATAGAGGAGGGGTGAGATGGGGTCATCGCCTTGCTCAGCCCCCCAACCCCACAAAAGTGACCTTGAAACTCACCATTTACAGAAATGGTGAAGGATGGGGAAGTGAAGCAGGCCCTAATCCATTCAACAAAAGTATCTGGAAACCCAAAGAGTGTTAGAGTCGAGTATGAAGTCCCACCCAACTACGTCAAATGCATTCATTAGGTCTACTTTGATGGCACATCTGGGAGGAAAAAGGTGTCTGTGGTATCCCTGAAACCGCTCTTGAGTTAAATGAACACTATGCCCAATGTGTTTGACCTTGACAAATGCATTTTGACATGGATCAATTATAAAAGGTAGAATTTGACACAACACAAGGACGATCAATTTTGGCAGAATCCCTACGTACATTTGAGAATCAACACCAACACCTAGATCCAGAACAATGCAGAATCGCAAGCATCACTCTATTTTCTGCATTTCTTTGACTTATAGTCGTCATCATCATATCATCCTTGCCTTAATCCCCACATGAGTGAGGTCGGTGGTATGAATTATCTGTCTCTACTCTTTTCTATTGTCTCCGTAATAATTTTAAAAGAATAGCTACTATGCATTGTGTTGTTTGCAATTCGCAATGCTTACAGATTTACCTGAAAGTACTATATTTTTAAAGTCATTTATGCTTGATGTGCCTAAAGCTTTCTGTTGAGGAGATCATTTTAAAAGAATAGCTACTATGCATTGTGTTGTTTGCAATTCGCAATGCTTACAGATTTACCTGAAAGTACTATATTTTTAAAGTCATTTATGCTTGATGTGCCTAAAGCTTTCTGTTGAGGAGATCAATTTTCTTTTGTCCAAAAATATCCAGTCAAGAATATTTTGATTCATCCAAATTCTGATACTAACTACGAAAACATGAACTTGAATATCAACTTATAAGGTATATTTCGATAGCAATTGAAGCTTTAATATTTATCAATTGAGGGTATAGACAATCCCTTACCAGGGAACTAAACCCACATTATTTACAGATTTCTGATCTTTCACATAGTTGTTCATTGTCTTACAAAACCTTATTAATCAAATTCAAAGATGAATAAAGTGAGGCAGATCAAAATATAGAATTTAGATAATCTACTGAAATACATAGCAAAAAAGGATCTTAAAAAAAAAAATAATAATAATAAATCAAAGATTGAAACAGCATACAAACATAACATAAATTCGTGCTATATATATATATATATATATAGCAATGAGTACTCGTTAAAGAGAAGCAAATAAACATAAAAATGCACAAACTCACAAAAGCCAATGAACAATCAATAAAAAATTGAAATGATCGAGCAATACCTTATAAGAAATAATATGAAAGAACGAAATCAACAAGAAGCTAGAAAGCTAGGGAACAATAAAAAACAATGATAAATTTGATATGATTAAGCAAATGTTTAACATTAACAAAAAAAAATTGAAGAGGACAAAGTAGCTCATCTGAAACAAGAATCACACGAAAGCTAGGGCACAGCAAGAATTGTACTAAAAGAGAGGGCTGGCAAGTGAACTGAGTAAACATATATTTTTTTAAAAAGGTGTTAATCTCTCCTTGTATTTGGTTAATTCAAGAAAAAATATATAATATTAATTATAAATTGTATTTTTTTTTTTTAAAAAAAGAAGAGAGTGATTGATTTAAAAGACAAATATAATTTTATTTTTTTTTTTTTTGGTTAGAAGGCAAATATATATATATATATTTTGGTTAACATATATATATATATATACAGACACACACACATAGCTCTTACCAAATACTACGCACGTATAGAACAATTGACACTTGGTTGCATGGACGTCTGTCATCAAAATGGACGGCCCAGCTCTATATTCAACACACACACACACACACACACACACACACACATATTTCCCTATATTGAACATTGACCTAAACTCACGTTACTGTTGGAGCGCGGCACATTATAATCAGGTCACGTTAGGTACATCGTAATCGATTTGTAAGAAGAAGAGTTCGACACATAAACAGTGATGTATATAAAATATGTATATGTATAAATTTGGATACATGTACGTGTGCATTGGTGTTTATATATATATCTATAGTGTCACATATTATTGTTTGGACATATGACTTTTAAAAAAATGAGTAAAGTCATTTCTGGTCTTGTAATTTATTCCTATTTTTTAAAATTTGGGTAAAACATCAACCAAACACCTAAATATATATATATATATTAAAAAAACAGACATTATTTTACCTTTAAAACAAACGGAAAGTAAACAAAAATAAGAAAAATTCTATCCGATTTACTTTCATATAAAAGAATGTCTCAAACCAAATACATCTTTTCCTATTATTTAGTAAAAAATTATTTTTCCAATATTCAAATTAACGTTGTTGTTGGAGAAATTATTACATACTACAAGAGTAATGATTTCGCAAGCAAAATTAGTTCAGGAACTGTAATAATTTATCACGTTGTTGACCTTTTTTAAGCCTTTAATAATTTTTTTTTTAAATAATATTTTTTTTTTATTTTTTTATTTGTTTAAAGGCCTTCAATGCAAGGAGAGAAGTCATTTGAACACTATGGATTAATTCTTTGACAGTTAGAAAGTCAAAATTTAGTTAATAACGTGAAATTTATTGACAATTTATAAATGCATACCTAGGTTAAAACATTGTTCAGATTAAGAATATTAGGTTACAACATCGTTAAGATTACCAAAATTCCTTGAACAAACTTATCTTATTTCCACAATCATACTAATTTTTTGTAATTTTTGGAATTTAAAACCACATTGAGATAGCGTTAATCTGTCATCATATTTGGTTAATTCATGAAATAAAAAAAAGAAAAAAATAGTAATTTTTCTATAGCACGGATCCAACATAGGACCTAGGGGCATACCCTCACTAAATTTTTTATATTTTTATTTTATACTTTAATTTTTAAAAAAATTTATGAAAATGTCCCCACTAAAATTACAATTCGCCTCTACTGAATTATTATTATTATTTTTTTGCATTTTATACTTTAATTTTTTTGAGAATTTATGCAAATACCCCTACTAAAATTTTAATTCGCCCCACTGAAATAATTTTTTTGCAATTTATACTTTAATTTTAAAAAAATTTGTAAAGAAAACCCATTGAAATTAAAAAAATAGACATACTATATAAGTCCCCCACAAATTAAAAGACCATCCCCTCAAAATTTTTTGAGTCCGTCATTGGTGTGAGTAACTTAGTGCCATTTTTAGGGAATTTTTTTAGTGCATTCGAGTGTGGTGTAGAGCTTGAATTTTCTTAGTGCCATTTTCGGAATTTTTTTTAGCGCATTTGGAGTGGAAGAATTACATGTGCTCGGTGATAAATAACAGAGGAACAACTCCGCACCAAAAATGAAAAGACAAAAAAGAAAAATGAAAAAGAAGGAAGAAAATGATTGATTTAAAAGACAAAAGCTCGTGCCAAATGCAGAACAATTGTCCCTTGTGGTTCGTTTACGTGGTCCGTCATCAAAATCGACGGCCCACCGTACATTGATTATTGAACATTGACCCAAACCCATTACTCACGTTACTGTTGGAGGAACATTATTATCAGGTCCCGTTAGGTACATGTGGTCTCATAATCAATTTTTGTAAGAGTGAGATTTTTTTATTATTATTATTTTATTTTTTATTCTAAGGTTAAGCAATAAGAGTGAGATTTTTTTATTATTATTATTTTATTTTTTATTCTAAGGTTAAGCAATAGACACTCAAACAATTATGCATATAAAAATATATAAATTTGTTTATATGTGTGTATGGGCGTATTGGTGTGTATATATATCTATATACATATTATTGTGTGAAACACATGACTTATAAAAAAATTAGCAAGTCATTTTCTGGTCTTGTAATTTATTCTTATTTTTCTAAAAATTGTGTAAATATCAACCAAACACCTAAAATAAATTGGAAAAAAATCAGAAAATATGTTACAAACAAAAGAAAGTGAACAAAAATAAGAAAGATTTTACTCCATCAATTATTTCGGTCAATCAGTATCAAACACGTAAGAAAAAAATTGAATTAAGCTGACATAAAGTTGACACTTTGACCCTTAGTAATTAATTTAAGATATTTTAATAAGTCAATCCAAACTTTTACTCTGTTTAAACTCCAAAAAATAAAAATAAAAAAACTTAATTTCTCTCTACCTGATGATCTAAAATGGAAATCATATTTGACAGACACATGTCCAAGAAATGGTACTTTTAGGCGTTTTAAATCCACCAAGGCACCAAGTGCCAATATTTATACATGGAATTCGAAAAATACCCCTTATCCATTTAATAATTACCTTGTATACAAAGTCCTAGTTAAGGTTAATTCACTCGTGTGTACGATAATGTCTGTCCAAGTAGACCAGACTCTAGAATTTCTCGCGCGCTTCAACACTGAGCTTCGTGTCTGAAATCGAACACAAATAGATCCATCTCTCTATCTGGGACCCGACAACAGTGGGCAATTGTCTCGCTCTCTCTCTATATAGCTTTCTCTCTACTATATATATATATATATATATATGTATATATATTTGGTAGTGAAACAGGGGAAGAAGACAATAATCAAAGCGATTCATTCGTAAACCCAAAGAAATCTTTTGATTAAAAATTACATAAACCAACAACTAACCACTCTCTCTCAACCTCCACATTTCTTCTAATTCCACAAACATTGTCTCTCTCCCTCTCTCTATATATATTTATATATATACACGCACATACTGTGTGTAAAGGAGAGAGAGAGAAAATGAAGCTCTCCGCGTTGCAGCAGAGCTACGCGAACCGCCGGAGCAACAGCATCAGAGGGTCGGCGCCGTCGGATTCCTCCGGCGACGGCTCCATCAAATCGCCGGCGGCAATCTTCTGGCTACTCTTCCACTGCCTCTGCTGCCTCATCAGCCTCGTCCTCGGCTTCCGATTCTCTCGCCTCCTCTTCTACCTCCTCTTCTCCACCTCCGCCACCACCAACCTCTACTCCACCTCGCCGTTCCGCACCACCGCCGAGCTCGCCGGAACCCTAATTGCGCAAAAAACTCTTTCTTTCTCAACTTCGTTACCAAATCCCGAATCACCGGCGAATAGAACAACCGTTCCGAATAGCAGAGTGGTGGTTGGCCGGCACGGGATATTGATACGGCCGTGGCCGCATCCGAATCCGGCGGAGGTGATGAAGGCTCACCGGATAATTGAGCGAGTTCAGAGAGAACAGGGGGTTCAATATGGAATTAAGAACCCTAGAACTTTGATTGTCATCACCCCCACCTATGTAAGAACATTTCAGACTCTGCATCTAACTGGGCTAATGCATTCTTTGATGAATGTGCCCTATGATCTCATCTGGGTCGTCGTCGAAGCCGGTGGAGCCACCAACGAGACGGCTGCCCTGCTCGCCAAGTCCGGCCTTCGGATCTTCCACATTGGGTTCAAGGAGAAGATGCCCATTTCGTGGGAGGATCGCCATCGGATGGAAGCTCGAATGCGACTTCGTGCTTTGAGGTGAATTGAATTGAATTGAATTGTTGGCTATATTAAATTCAATTTCTTGTGCTTTAATCTAAGATTATTATTATTAGAATCGAATTTAATTCAGTAGGTGTGTGATGGAGCAGAGTTGTGAGAGAAGAGAAACTAGATGGGATTGTGATGTTTGCTGATGATAGTAATATGCATAGTATGGAGCTCTTTGATGAGATCCAAAATGTGAAATGGATTGGGGCGGTTTCAGTTGGCATTCTTGCTCATTCGGGTAATTCTGATGAAGAATTATCAGTAATACAGAAGGAGGATGAGAAGAATTCCCCAATGCCAGTTCAAGGTCCGGCATGTAATTCATCGGACAAGTTGGTTGGTTGGCATACATTTAATTCACTTCCATATGTGGAGAGGAGCGCAAAATATATTGGGGACCGGGCGATTGTGCTGCCGAGGAAGCTTGAGTGGGCTGGATTCGTGTTGAATTCGAGGTTGGTTTGGAAGGAAGCTAAAGATAAACCGGAGTGGGTTAATGATTTAGATACTGTAGCTGGCAATAGAGGGGATGTGGAGTCTCCATTGAATCTGCTGAAGGACCCTTCGGTGGTGGATCCTCTTGGGACTTGTGGGCGCAAGGTTTTGCTCTGGTGGCTCCGTGTTGAAGCTCGTGCAGATAGCAAATTCCCTGCCGGGTTAGTTGCTTACAATCTCTCTTGCGCTATCCAATATCTTGCTTCCTTAGTCATGCTAATCCTGTTACTTGATTTTGAGTCTAACATTAATAGGAATGTTGATTGTCTTAGTGATAAAGTCTTTAGGAGTCTGCATTTCCATTTTTTGTTTTGTTTATGGTAGTTATGCATACTCATTTTTGGATGGTGATTGTTTCATTCATGTTGAATTGTCTTAAAACCCTGTTGGGTAAATGCGAATATTCAGAAATATGAGTTTGGACAGATAATACAATCTGATTTGCTCTTAAACAACTTATGTGTTGAACCTTGTATTAGAGTGATGATTACAAAGAGTTACCAAAGGGCCTCAACTGCCCCTGCTATAATTTTTTTTGGTTGATCTGTTCATCAGTTCATGTGGTGAAGCTGGTGGCTTTAGAATTTAATCACTGATGTCTCCCTCTACATCATGCTTAATTTTGTGTTTTTCAATCATAGTTGTGGTTGCATGTGTTTGCCTAATAGTATTATTTCTTTTTCGAAACATTTTCGTTTACGGCACTTTCCATAGCTGTCCGAAATTGGCGTGGATTGCATGAGAAATTCTAGGGAAGCAGTCTGCACAGACACTTTTATGAAGGTGTCTGTGATTGTTTGACACGTGTTAGACACCATCACTTCTTGGAAATCAAACACTTTATGATGTGTCCATAATTTTAAAATACATTTTATTATTTAGACACTTTGTTGACAAATTTCGGACAGTTGGTGGAAGGACACATCTTAGACACTCCTCCTCACAAGTCATATATAACACCAATGTAGTTAAGATGCACACCTCATAGTGTCTAAACCTTTTTTCCTTAAGAAAAATAGGTTTTATATAGATGGTCATATCAAGCTTGCAATGGCATTTCTTCATGAAGGACCAAAAAAAGAAAAAAAAAACTAAATAAAAGAAAAATAATAATAATGACAAGTCAGAACAGTAGTAACATATATAGTTAGGTTATATATATTGTACTGTACTTATACTATTATACCCCTTACTTACCACCTAGGGAAATGTTTGGTACAAGATAAACATCAGGAATAGATAATTGTGACTGAGAAACAGTCCCCATATGACTAATGGCCAATGTGGGTCCATCTGCGGTGTGTATGACAAGTGATTAAAGTGTAGGAGTTTCAGTGGTGAGTAGGGTAGATTTGGATTTTATGTGATTACAACAAGTAGAATCAAAATACAAAGAGGCGAATTCTAGATATTTTCCTGGTGACAATGTGATAGAGAGAGCAAAGGAAGATACATCTTGGTATCGAGACAAAACCTGATTGAGAAGTGCCTCAAAGGTCAGCTATAGAAAGTGTAGATGGGGAAGATGAAGACACACTAGAAGCGCTAAAGAGAGGTGTTGGAGCTGGTGACTTAAGTGTCTTAGTATCGGTATTGGCCACAATTGCAGTAGACCGAGTAGGTGTATCATGAGTGCGTGAACAACAATTAGAACGCCGTTTGCGAGAGGTATAATAGTACGCCGTTTGTGAGGGTATCACGGGTATCAAACGACTTTGATACCATGTTGAAAGTTATGAGAATTGTATATTGAATAGTATGAATGAACAATACATATATAGGTATAAAATCCTAGGTGGTAGGTAAGGTGTATAATAGTACTAGTGCAGTACAACATATATAATCTAACAGCCCCCGTCAAACTCAAGGTGAATTATATGAAGCCAACTTGAGTTTGGAGACAAGATTACCAAAGTGTATGGGCGAAAGAGATTTGATGAAGATGTCGGCTAGTTGATCATTTGAAGCAATGGACCACAACTGTAATGTATTGTGAAGAAAATGATGACGAATAATGTGACAATCAATTTCGATGTGTTTGTGCACTCATGAAAAACGTCATTGTATGCAATCTGAATCGCACTCCTATTGTCATGGTAGATAGAAGTGGCTGTGGATAAGGAACCCCATATCTTGAAGGAGCCAACGCAACTACAAAAATTCAGAAATAGTACTCAGCTTTTGTACTAGATTGAGCAACCATAGTCTGCTTTTTGCTACGCCAAGAGATGAGTGAATCTCCAAGAAAGAAGCAAAATATTTTAGTGGAACGACGATACAACATATATAATATAATTAAATTTTGCATACATCATCATCATCTTCTTCTTCTTCTTTCCCAATTAAATAAACAGCTCATCCTACAACTCATTCTTGAGGCCCAAATTATCTTACAATTAATACTTAAAAGTCAATGTCCATATCAATTAAGCATATTATAAATTGTTGGCAAACTTGATCATAGTTGTTAAAGGCTCAAGGCGCACAAAAGCGCAAATGCCTCCTAGAGCCTGAGGCGCAAGGCGCAAGGCGAGGCGCGCACCCGACTGAAGTAAGGCACACGTTGAAAAAAAAAAAAAACAAAACCCACCCAATAAAATATTAAAGATGCAATAGTATATATAAAGATGTAAAAGTCAACTAAATGAGTTACTTAAGTTAAATATTCAACATCCACCAGCTAAAAACCACTGGCTAAATATTAAAGATGCAATAGTATCAAGGAAACTGCTGCCTAAAGTTGGAATGTTTCTTTAATTTTAATGAATTTCAAAACATCCACTGGCAGCAGTTTCCTTGATAGGCAGTTAAAGATAATGTTTTGAGTTAGTCGGAATTGCAAATTATCTTGCTAAAATAGTTCTAAATAGGGAGTTTAAAATGCAGTCATCCTGGTAGCACTTTATTTGATGGTGTTGGTGGATAGTAAATACATATATGCGTAATTGTGCACAAAAACAAATGACTCATGACTCTGAAGAGGAACAAGATAAAGGGCTTGGGAGGTATATATGACGTTGAAGAAAAAATGTTGCCTTTTCCAAAGCTAACAGGACGATTTATCTGCATTGTATATTCTATAATCTCAAGTCATTCACACGGAGCAGAGGTGTGCCAATAACCCCTAAACACAACCCATATCCTCCTTCCCTCCCTCCCTCCCTTTTTGCACCAAGCATGCTGCCATGGATTTACAATGTCTGCACATTGGTAAAAGTTTGGATTGACAAGTGTGAGGACATCATCTGGAGTCATGGGTATAATCACTGTGTGCAAAAGTACCAAAGGTTAGGTCTATATTCAAGTGTGAGGACATCATCTGGAGCCATGTGCATGTGACCATGTATTGTAGTGTTTGACTTACTCATAGTTTTTGTTTACTTGAAATCTTAATTGGTTCATTGAAGTTGGTGGATACACTGAAAAACAGGAACTTGATTGAATGATTGATATAATCAAGAAGTAACATACTGATTGTCTGGACAATGGTGATAAATGGTTTAGAGTTTTTGATATTTGACTCCAAGAAACCAATTAAACTAGTTAGTACACGGGTCTGAAAATCATCTTCATAAAGGAATTTGATCGCATTAATATTGAAGTTGACTTCTGTTAGGAGATGGTATCTCAGAATTTCTTATATTGGATTTTCTTTGAGGATATAAACTTCTAACACCTGGAAGGTTGTTTGAGGTTTCACACACTGGCTCTTGCATGAAAGCCAATTGAAATTGATATTAAATGTCCAAATTTTGGAATGTTTCTTTAATTTTAATGAATTTCAAAACATCCACTGGCTAAAAACCAGATCATTTCACATAGTGGTCGAGTCACAAAATGACTCCTGATCAAATTGCAAAAGTTTTCGTCTCACAAACTCAGAAGCAAATATTGTTAAAGAAGGTGGTTTATGGCCATGGCTAAGCACTGTGGGACTGTTTAAGGCCTATATATAAGTGTAGTGTTTTTTAACACATGATATGGCAGTCTTTTGAGGGTGGGCCTTGGCGAGATTGTGAGATGACTCCATTGTGATTTGGAGGTCACGGGTTTGAAACTGGAAACAGCCTATTTGCATGCAAAGATAAGGCTTGCATACATTGGACCCTTCCCATACCCAACAATTGCAGGAGCCTCGTGGGCTAGTCCCATATGGTAGTCTATTCAATGACATTCAGATGTTTCTTTCTCCCTTAACATTCCTATAAGTAATGGGGAGTATTTAGGACGTCAAGGTTTGACCTCATCTGTGTCTGTTTTGTGAGTTTCATGATTCCCCCATATAACACCACTCAGATGCTTTGTTATAATACAATCAGCTGATTCTATTTCCAAATGAGATCCCAATTAACACTGCTGACACACACGTGTGGTACATACATCTGCACATGCATATATAAGTTTTCCTTTTTTAGGTCATTCTCTAAATCATTTGAAAATTAGTTTCAGAGAATTAATGGATGATTTTTTACACTCCTTTGGTGGAAACTTGCCGTTGCTTACCTCATTTATTATAAGATTTAGAAAGTGCCTCAATATTCAATAATTACAAGAAGCTACCCTGTCCAAAGTAGTGTAATAACATTTACTTAGAAAGCATTGTTAACATAATGTTGTGAAAAAACTGTGTGTGTATTAATGGTTGCCTCACAATACATACGCCTCACTACATTATATGCAATTTCTTTTAATATGAAGATTGGTTTTACTTCATAAAATTTTGGTCGAGCAGTTTGTGTACTTCATGGCAAAGAATTTGGAATTAATATTTTTTGTAAGTCCAAATCATGGCTTCCACTAGGTAGACATACACGTCAAATATTGTTTTGCAGAAACACTTACTAAAGCTAGGATAGGGTGTGTTTAGTAACGTTTTCGTTTTTTGTTTTTGCAATCTTGAAAAAGCAGAAACATGATTTTGTTTTCTTGAGTGAAAATAGAAAATAGAAATGATGTTTATTAACACTTGTTGTTGCCACAAATTTGAAAACATAAAACAATAATTGTGTTTAGTAATACAACATATTTGTTATAAAATGTATATAATATTCTTTAAATTTTTTATTTTTTTCATTTCTATTTTATTTTTTTCATGGCAAGAATTTTAGGAGTTAGTGATTAGAGGGGAGGGTAGATGACTTGAACATGAACTCTTGGATACAGGGAGCAACCCAACCACTCAGGCACGACACTTGCTTCCATTAATATCAAAAAGTCATAAATCTAGAAAATTTAATTTAAAATTATAAATCTTGAAAATAACCAATACATCATAAGTACAAAATTAGATATACCAAGACAAAAACATTCCCACCTATTATGTATAGAAATACATGTATATGCATGATGTATACATTTATTATGTGATATATAATATATTTAGCATATGATAATTTATTATGAATAAAAAATATTAAATAATATATCTTATATGTAATAAAATATATATTGTGTTATAATATTGTAAATTAATTATAATTTAATATTTACATGTAATATAATATAGATATGATATATAATAATATAAAATATCTACTGCTTAATAATTTAATAACATTATATTCTATATCAAAAATTATTTTGTCACAAAAAATCAATTTCATTATTATTTAATATATTATATATTAAAATATATTTTTATCAAATAAAAAATAATATACAATATTTAATTTATTCTATATTAAAAATATATATTTTTATTAACATTTAGTATGCAACTTAGTATATAACACAAATAATATGAATTTTATTTGAAATGAATAGTGCCAGTGCATTAACATTAGTGAAAATGTTTCTCTGCTACAGTGCCGAAAACATAAGAAACATCATTTTGATGTTTTTTTTTTTCACAAAAATTGAAAACGTTTTTTGTTATTGAAAAACAAAAACATTTTATTGAACACGATTTTTGTTTTCGTTTTGCCTTTTTAGAGGTTGACAACAAAAAACAAGAAACGTTTCTCGTTACTAAACGCAGCCTTAATAAGTGGCAAAAACATGAAGCTTTTCTTGTAGTTTCTTCCCATTTAAATGAGGTTTTTTGGTTTTAACCCCCAAATAATAATAATAATAATAAATGAGGTTTTTGGCCCCTTGATCTGGGGGAGAGGGAGGTCTTTTTAGCAAGCTATCATATAATACCCTAATAGGAGGTAGTTCTATGCAAACTTCAAATAAAGGAAGCAGCTAAACTAACATAGAAAAAGTGAAAAGCAGTGTCATTGTTCACTTTCCTTTGTTCTAGAATTTTATATTTGTACCCTTATACATAGTAGTGATATTATCAGCATGAGCGGATGAACATGAATTCCAGATCCTTGTGACTACGTGCTACACTACCAGTTTATTAGTCTAAAATAATGAAAAATCTGTGATTCAATTATGGAATACATGCATATTTCAATTGTTTTTCATTGCTTTGAAAGATCAAATGATTAAAATTTACATTCTCGAGTTTTTTCTGTTGCACTATCAGAAAATGTCCGACCTTACCTCAATTTTAAGAAGTCATTTCTAATGTATGTTTGTAGACTGACTTATACACAATATGTATTTTGCTCTTGTGATGTCATTGCTGACTGATTCTAACCAAAAGCATGTGTTTCTAAGAAACAATGAATCAAGGCGGTAGCTCCAATTCGTTCCGTATATCGTTTAAGTACTACCTTTGTTTCGTGCAGATGGAAAATTGATCCTCCACTAGAGGTTAATGTCCTGGCAAAACGCACACCGTGGCCAGATACTCCCCCCGAACTCCCATCTACTGAAAAAGATATCGGCATCCAAGAGAGCGCTGAGAATCGTGGTACAAAAACTCGGACACCCAGGTCAAGGCGTTCCCGAAGCAAGAGAAAGCGTGAAGCAAGAGTATTAGACACACAAGTTTCTGCAAGGCAGACTGCATAAATATAAGACCCTAATTGTTAGCCAATTCAGGACATTTGAGAGTACACTCTGCTGTTAAGACTGGAGATTGCCAGCCTTCAGCATCATCAAATTGCTAAGAGTACATACAGAAGGCTTCTGTTCAGGTGGGCAGTTGATTGATACATGCAATTTTTTTTTTTTTTGTTTTTCACCTAATTTTCATATTTTCTTTATTTAATTTTTTGCTTGGATGATTGATATTTGTCAACTTAGTTCTGGTGATTGCCAGGAAATTTGTATCCAGTATGGTCTAAGTTGTATACTTGCCAGCAAAATAGAAATCATAGATTTGTGACAATACTTGTTTGTAATAATAGAGTTTTTTCATTGCAAAAGATGTCTTTTTTTTTTTTTTGTAATAATAAATGTACATTCTTGCACACAAACCGAATTCATATAATGACTGTAAACATTAGTCAAGTCTGACACATGGTTCACCGTGTTGATCGATACGCGATTCTTTTTCAAGTTCAATACGCGTCCCGTATCGGTCAGTTTGTACTAATTTTGTCCGTATTCATTAAATTACGATCAATATCGCGACCGTGACCAATATTGTGAACCACTCTGGCATCATGAATTACACTAAATTGATACAAAGAAAGATGAAATTAAAATACTATAATCTTCATAAATGAAGAATTTAAATAATAGAAATGGTAACAGAAATTGAGAAAGGAAGATGGTGAGGCGTGTTGGACATTGTCGTAAAGTCGATATGAAGTATGTATGACAGTTTATATCGACTACGATTAAATCCAATTGCTTCTCCCAATGAGCACATTCACCAGAAGAATAGTCTAGTGCCAAATCATTGTCTCGTTGCCCATAAAGCAGATAACCTCGTATATACATGTATGTAAATATATAAGAGAAATATAACATGACTGAGAAAAAGATCAATTAATATATGCGTGTGTGTGTGTGTGTGTGTGTGTGTGTGTGTGTATATATATATATGAAAAAAAATGTAGAAGTAGAAACCCCACTAGAAATATGGTGGAAAAGCATCATTTTATAGGTTGCGCCTTTCTTCCATGCTGACTGCTAGATACTGTATATAGTTACGCCTATCTAAGATGTTAGTTACTAGTTACCTATCTAAGAAAGCAGATAACCTTATTTTTGGGAGTACAGAAAAGAGAACACGTAATAAATACAGACTGTTAGTTGGATCTAATCATATTCAAAAGCAAGAAAGGGGTTTGAATATTGACAAAATATAAAAATTCAATGGTTATAATAATCATATAATACCTCAACATTACTGAAAGGATATCAATTTTATTTAGAAGTATAAGGGAGTTCTTATTAAGTAGGCGATTTATACAGAATGTAAGTGTAAAAATTCTTTTATTAAAATATTATTGAAACTCTTATTAATATCTTTTTCTTTCTATCCTCTTTATCCTTTTTCTCTCATAAATATATATCCATTTCACCATACTTTGAAATCTTGTTTTCCCACTAATGGGATTTGAACCTAACTCCATTTAACGATTCATTATTGTTAATGATATATATATATTACGGCAAAATATAGAAAACTCCCATCGATTTGTAATTTTTTTCAGTAAATCTTCCTCATCTAATTTTTTACTAAAGAACCCCTCGACTTGTAACCCTTTCTAATAAATTCTCATTGTCTAATTTTTTTACCAAAGAACCCCCATCAACTATCTAAAGGGGTAAAAGAGTTAATATTTGGACCAAAATACCTTTTTATTTAAATCTTAATTTTTCCGAACTTCAAAAATTCATATCTCACAAATCGTACATCCGAATATTGCAAATAATATATGCACAGAAAACTTATAAAACAAGGATTCCATAAATATAATATTTGTTTAACAAAACTTCATAACCAGAGAGAAATAGACAATCTAAAAATCTACTGCAACAATATTATATTATTTTATTTTTTATAAAATACTCGGGTTATTTGCAAGAAAATTTTTAGAATTATTCATTTTCATATGGAGTATAACATATAAAAAAATTTAGCTCCAATAGAAACCGAATATTCATTTTTATTTATTTTTTAAATGGTGAGTCTATAAAAGAATGAAAATACTTTGACGCAAAATATGATATCGCATGAAATTGATCTCTGTTGGGGCTAATTTTTATTTTTTATTATTTATTTATTTATTTATTTATTATTTTTTTTATATATTTGACTCCATATGAAAATGAATAGTTCTAAAAATTTTCGTACAAATATCTCGAGTAAAATATGATTGTTGGAGTAGATTTTTAGATTGCTTATTTCTCTCTGGTTATGAAGGTTTGTTGTACAAATTTTATATTTCATGCTAGATCAGATAGGTTCCTGTGGGACGGTGGTGACTTTACTTTTAAAAAAGCTTGGCAAGGATGTAGAGTTACTAATCCAGATGTTTTATGGTCCAAAATCTGTTTGGGGAAGGCCAGGCCTTGATGGTCAATTCATGGTGTCTTTTTATTTTAAGACAAATTACTTACAATGTATAATTTGCGGAGGAGGAAAGTGCAATTGGCTCCAAGATGCTCTAATTGTTTACACCAGATTGATACTAGAAATCATATTTTTGTTCAATGTCCTTTTGCTAGACAGTTCTGGAACTGGTTGAAGGATGCTCTTGGTTTGGGGTTGGACTTAGCTTCACTTCATACTATTGATGACATGTTGTTATAGTTCCCTCAACACACTAGCAAAATGATTCAAACTACATGGAAATATGAAGTATTTCCATGTAGACTACCAGAGTAATTGGAAAGAAAAAATAGAAGACTATATGGAAATAATCCTAGTCCCACTTCTGAGGTGGCTAGACAAATTATGTTTGAGGTCTTAGATGTTTACAATGTCTCTTTTAGAGACATTCTCTAGTTTACAGTTTTTTTGTTTTTATTTTATTTACTGGAAATGTTTCTTCATTAAGAATCTGTACTTTCTAGTAAAATTTTGAGGGTATACCCTCTGTGCACTTGTAAATCTTTATCTTTTCATTTTATACAAAAACCATTTATAAAAAAAAAAAAAATCTTATATTTTTGGAATCGTTATTTCATAAGCTTTCCGTGCATATATTATTTACAATTTTTAAACACACAGTTTATGAGATATGAAATTTTGAAGTTCGGGAGAATTAAGATTTAAATAAAAGGGCATTTTGGTTGAAATATCAAATCTTTTACCCCCCTTCAGATAGTTGAGGGGGGTTCTTTGGTAAAAAATTAAATAAGGGGGATTTATTGAAAAAATGTTACAAGACGAGGGGGGTTCTTTGGTAAAAAAATAGACAAGGGGGGTTTACTAGAAAATGTTACAAGTCGAGGGGAGTTTTCTGTACTTTGCCCTATATTTTATCTGTCAAACAATGAAAACTTCTTTATTCATCTATTTTGGAATATGGATAAGGATATAAATAAGTATCAGATTCTTTTTGATGTAATTTTAAGCCAAGTCACAATTCTTCTCAATGGGTACCATTCTTATGTTTTTAGTTCATTTTTACTTTCACACTCCGCACGCACTCTCACTCCTGTTCCCACTATCTGTGACTTTAATTTTGTCGTTTTCGCGTTCCCGCTCAATTCTGCTCCTGCTTTATGTTACTTAGATTTTAAGTCTTGTGTCCTCCATTGGGGGTATCGTGGTGGTTGGAAGAGTCACGCCTATTCTCAGTCGGTGGCACGTGTCGAGGGTGGGGCTAAAGCACGTGGATCTACCCTATCAAGGTCTCAACGAGCTTAGCCATTACAGAAAGAGGGGAATGAGTAGGTATCGACGGGAATTACGTATCGAAAATTCGAGTGGCTGAAGCTGAAGTAGCTAGTTTAAATCAAGGATAAATTACACTAACCTCCCTAGAGGTTTGGGCAAATTACACAATGATAGTGCCTTTAATCTTTATTACTTTGACATCCTTAAAGATGTGAAATGTCTTTCATACCATTGTCTAATTTAATATTAGTTTAATACAAAAATGTCAAACCAAAAGACACCATTAATTACCTTTTCATTTTCCCCCCATCTTGTGTACATTATATTACCCTACCTATTTTTTAGTTTTGAAAAAAAAAAAAAACACCTAATATAACCATAAA